CAAAAGACACTCTGGAGGTAATTTGCATGTGGTGAAATCTATTGGCAGCTCTTTCTTTTGATCCACAATGGCAGTCTTTCCTGTCTCTTCTTCTGCTTAACACTGATGATTCAAAAGTTGAAAAAACAGTAGCCAATACTTCTTATATTGGCTACAAGAAATACAGAGACGAGCAGAACTTGAGTTTCGATTTCTTTCACTCTCTAAGTTTTCCCCTGTTGAGTCAATAATCACAGTAGGAACTATAGATTTCCTTGAATCCCCATAAAGACTGCAATTTACACAGGTATATTCTTCTCATCTTCCCTTGCCATTCTTTACAATCTGACACTTAAAATTCTTATGATAGGTCGATGCAGCACTAATTGCAACAGGAAGAGGCCCATTCACTAACGGTCTAGGGTTGGAGAATGTATGTCTTCATGATATAAGCTTTCAAAAGCCTGCACATTTTGCAGAAATAATTTCAAAATGATACCTGTTTTCTTCCAGATTAATGTAGAGACACAAAGAGGTTTTGTCCCTGTTGATGAGCGCATGCAAGTCAAAGATAAGGATGGAAATCTGGTTTGTTGCAAATACATTTTTTTCTTTATCTGTGGCTACTCTCAACCACTACAGACATATTATATTCATTTGCAGGTTCCTCATGTCTATTGCATTGGTGATGCAAATGGTAAAATGATGCTAGCTCATGCAGCAAGTGCACAAGGAATTTCTGGTAGGTACAGTGACTTTGTAAATATTGGACACTATTCTCCTTGTTCACCCTTTTGATAACTTGCAGAGTCTTTCTTCTTGTAGTTGTTGAACAGGTCACTGGAACGGATCATGCGCTCAACCATTTGAGCATTCCAGCTGCTTGCTTCACCCATCCTGAAATTAGTATGGTTGGATTGACCGAGGTAGAAAGTTGATTTTTTCCTGGAATTTATTCTGCCATAATGCTGGTTTTTAGTCACTTGTCTGTGTCCTCTATCCAATTCATTGAAAGCTTGGCAATTACTACAGTGAAGCTTTTGCCTTCTCTACCTTGATGCTAGTAGTAATATGAACCAAAGTTTGGTGTATATAATTCTGTGAAATTTACCAAAAGAAGCAATAAATCTTGTATTTGCACAAAATGCAGTACGCATTGCTTCTATGCACATCTACCTCTAAGACCCAAAGAAAAAAGATTGAAACAAAAGAAGATAGCTGGCAAAGAAGAAAAGTTACACCTATGCCATTATCTGACAATGAAGTATGAAGATCCTTTATTATGAGGGAAAAAAAAGAAAGAAAGAAAAAAGCAGCAGACTGTTCCTAATGGTTTCTTCATAAAATCCCACTATTTCTCGTGATGATTGGAGTTTTATGTAGTCATTCTTTTGATTTCTTAATAGTCACACAGAGAGCAGGGGATCTAGTCATTACATACAGCTAATTGTTCTGAAGAAGATTTGGCTCTGTAGTTAGTTTTGCTGCTTGAATGATAGAGAAAAGAGGGCAAGAGACTTGTGAAGATGCATAAGATTTTATGCTTTATGCATGTATAAGTTTTTGTATTGAAAACGTGTTGATGAATTTATTTGCCAAAATAGTCTGCGCTCTCTCTCTTTTATCTTAGTGCTTGAACTGTTGTTGATCTTGCACTTGTCTGCATGTACCATTTTGTTCATTAACTTTTAGGAATATCTTAGTCGTCATTTGAATTCTGTAAGTACGTTATTTAACACTCTTTGTGGAGTGCTTTACTAGTATGCTGGTCGTTTTCTATCTAACCAAGAACCTTGTAAAGTGATGTCTTCTCCATGAACATTTTGATCTCTCATTTTTCACTTGCACCTTTTGCAGCCACAAGCAAGAGAGAAAGCTCAAAAAGAAGGGTTTGAAATAAGTGTTGCAAAGACCAGTTTTAAGGCCAATACCAAGGCCCTTGCTGAAAACGAAGGGGAGGGACTCGCTAAGGTTATACTCTTCCTAATTATTTTTCATGTAAAGATTTTCAGGGCATGATATTTGTGACTAGAGGAGCACTGATGTTTACATCCACGCACAGTTTTGAACCAATTGCAGCCTTGCAATAGACTCTACTCTGGCAGTTCTAAAGCTAGAGTTCTATAAGATTGGCTTACTTTATTGTGCATGTGATTCTTGAGTAATTGTATTGCTAAATATACTAATGAAAAGATCCAACATCTTGATCCTATCCATTCATAATCCTTTAACTCAAATTTTGTGAGTGCAGAAACCAAACTAGGCAACCTTTTATTATTACTCGAGGTGGAAATAATTATGGATCCGTGACAAATTTAAGCTCAATTTAACTTTTAAGCATCTATTGTCATGGTTGCGTTCTTATTCTTTCAGTTATATTAGTGGACAAAGTGATACACAACTAGAGTTTTCAAAGCATGAATTTTCAAATGGATGTATAGTTAGATTGATCTATAGCCTTAAATTTATATTGTCTTCCAGATGATATTCAGACCTGACAATGGTGAGATTCTCGGAGTGCATATTTTTGGGATGCATGCTGCAGATCTCATTCACGAAGCTTCAAACGCCATTGCACTGGGCACACGTGTTCAGGTCAGTAATTCTCCGTGATCTAGCTTGATGGATCACTGCCTTCCATAACAGTGTGAACCACTTTAACAGTACCCTTGCTCCAATAGTTTTGTTCCCTTCCTCTGAGAACTCATTTTTGTGAAGTTTTGCACAAGTTTCCCCTTGCAAATCACAAACAATTGCTGTACTTTGCCCATGGTGTCTTATTCGGTGTTTTTAGCTGAATTAGAATCAAATGTTCAATTTTGAATAAAATCGATTTTTTACTTCTTGGTGTTGGCAGGACATAAAGTTCGCTGTTCATGCGCATCCAACATTGTCTGAAGTACTTGATGAACTTTTTAAATCTGCTAAGGTTAGCTTCTGACCCTTGATATGCTTAAAGATAAACAGAGTTGAACACCACGAAGTGTCACAACTCACAAAGGAAACCCCAAGAACGGCAACAATTGGAAGCAGAATCAAGTTCCGTAATCTAAAGTTGATGAAGCATATACTTAACAGCTTGTCCTGATTTAGGAATTATTGACAATTCAACTTGTCTCAGAATTTACTCACTTAGTTGACATTTAATTGCTTTTTTCAAGCTCATCCATTTTCTTGAAGGCTGCTCACATTAACAGCTCGTCAGTGACAGAGATTTTCATCCTATTGAAAAAATTGGTGGATAGATATTATGTTCCAAGGTTAAATTTGCAGAATATGCAGTCCTTTCCATGTCCAATCTGCAGCATCTCTTTTCTTTTGGTCCAGGTAAATGCTCATGCAACAAGACCAATTAGAGAACCGATTGCTGTCTGAAGCTGCTTCACTGTTTGGCGTAATGTATCTGAAGAAACTTTCTTGTGCCGATAGACTGCGGATCAATTTACTAAGAGATGAGGAAGAATAATAGATTGGGAGAGCTTGCTACTTTCTCAAGGGCAGCTGGACCCGGCTTCTCGGATAATAGCTAAATTCTTTTCCCAAGGCTTTGCATATGTAAGCCTCTGAGAGATTCTTCAGTGACTACTTTACACGGACCTTTTGGTTTAGAGCAACCTGTGTCATTTCTAGCATTGTTTGCAGGATTAAATAGGTTTTCTGAACCATATATCTAGTGTATGCTAAAGTAGGTTCAATCATTTCTTTCAATTCATTTCAAGTCAGGTTCCTGAATGAATAGTACCGCTGTATCGTACCCCACCTTGATTATGGGAAGCAATCAGGTCATGGTTAAGGTTTGAAACAATTGCAAAGAGGTTATTTCAACTCTCTGCCAGAACATTCCCGAAAAACCTTTTAAAAAACTGAACCATCAGGGCTCAAATCGTGCAACTTCATCATGTTACACGTATCGAGATTCCTGCCCTTAGCACACGGGTAAGGGGTAACATATATATACAATGCGCCTGCCTGCTGGTCCCAACATGAAAAGAACTTGCCAACAATACTCAGCATTTCTAATATTACCATTCAGAATTACAGCATCAGATCCTCGCCAGATAAAAGGTGGGTCAAGAAGCTGTTGACAAAACACACGCAAGTCCTGTTCTCACATCAAGCAACCTACAACAAAGACGCGCGCACACAGCTTGGAAAGCATATGTCGTTTGCACCTTACGAAAAGTCATTCAGTAGTCAAAGGTCTTACAGGAAAATCAAACAGCCTTTCAATAATCAAATCCTCATCCAATTTCTGCAGTAAACAAACATAACACCACATTCCAAGATAGATTATTATCAATTTCAATCGACACAATACAATTGCGCAAAATCTGACAATGATACAAAAATCCTCAATACCTCGTCCAATGACTTCCCTCTCAGCCATTTCTAACTTTAGAGGATCAAAACTCAGTAAGAAATTTAGTAAAAGAGCAGCATGGGATTATAGGGTTTTAGGGCTTAAGAGAGCAACTCTTTAACATGCATTCAGACCATCCATCTCAACTCAAACGCATCGGCAGTAATCATATCCATTTCATTAAAGAGCCTTACGTATGACTGAAACTTTGCAGAATGATACAGCACGAGCCTGAGATCAGAACAACCCATACTACCTACCATAAGATTTACACTTTACACAAGACAAGCTATTGCAAAATCAGGAGCCTGGATAATCACATTCAGCTAATCCAAAATCATAACTGAAACTCCATGTATTCTCATAAACGGCATTGCCGCTTCACTATCACAAGATCTCGAGAAAGCAAGGAACTCAACTAGAGGACAATCGACTCTGCTTCTACATTTCTGTGCAAGCAACACAAGAATCAAAGTATCCTAGGCACAGGATAAACTTAAGTCAAATAAACTGGTTCAACAAAACTATCAGATCATTTCTACACAAACCACATACACAAAATCAAACAAATGCACTCCTTGCATACCAGCACATGCAGGTCAAAAGAATGTCCCGGCAGCATTCATACATCAAATGAAATTAAAATCAGGCAAAAAAAATTGAAAATTCAATCAAAGATCATTCTTGGTAAAATAGGTAGTAATCTAGTAATCCAGCAGAACTGCAGCTGGGTTAATTGAGCTCGTACAACAACACAAATAGAGCCAAATATTCTTCCATTAATCGTAGCTCAACACAGTAGAATAATCCTGTCCCAATTTAAAATTGACAAAAATAAAATAAAACAAAAACAAAAAACTTCAAATAGCTAAAAACAAGGCCTCATTCTAGTTTCTGGAAATCTACTCGTCCCCACTGGCAGCTTCATCACCCTTTTTGTTATGCTTCCTTGCATACCTCTGGTTTCTCAAAAACTTGGGATCCATCTGATACACAAAAGGTCAAATTTCAAATTATTAAACATCAAAAATACAACACCGGTACCAACCACACGGAAACATTACAAAACATTATAAAATTTATTAGTGTTGAAAGGAGAAACGAACAGACCCCTTTGGTGGAAGTGTGGCGGTGCTTTCTGGGCTTCTTGATGCCGTTCTTGTGAGCCTTATAGGACTGGTTATGAGCGGTGTGGTTCTTGGACTTGGCCATTCTTTCTTCTGTTTTTTCATCCAAAAAAATTACAGATTTCTTTCAGAAATATATTTCAAGGAAGTCGAATAAATCAAGATGCCCAACTTAGATGGGAAGATTAACTCGGGAAGGAGTAAAATACCTGGGTCGGGTTGAGCCGGCGACAGAACTTGCAGAGGGTGAAGGAAATGAGTTTGGGGAAGAGAGGAGAGGGTTAGAGATGGAGGTTTTATGTTGAGATGGGACAACCCTAGCTCCGTGTCGGGGGCGAAATTACAAAAATGGCCTTTTACAGTTTGGGCCTTCAGGGAAATCCATGGCCTATACTCCCGAAAGAATTAACACAACATTTCGACTTGGGCCCCCTTTATTATAGATCAGTCCGATGTCCTTGCCAAGTCTGAACCCAATTATCGATTTCTTTTCATTTTTTTAAAATCAAACCTATAAAATTACCCATCTGTTATTAAAACTTTTCATTACTTGCTTCAACTTATTCATGAGACCAACCAAAAAGAAAAAAAAAGGCATCATCCACGGGACGGGACTCTAGTACTCTCCTCACAATGCAAAATAGAATATGTTAAAAAAAATAAAAACTTATTGTTTAGAGAATGAACTTTTTTTGAGAAAGCAAATTTTCATGTTAGGGCAACTACTATGTATAGTCAATACTGTTAGTTTGTTTGATATATTGTTCATTATATGAGTTAAATTGAGTATTGTTTTCTTAAACCCAATATCATACGAATGATATATATATATTTTTTCGAAACAATAACTTGATTGTATTGATGCAAAAAACTATATATCATTGCACGTTAAAACTCAATCAAACTATATAATTAATGAACTTAGATCTTGAGGAATCAGTATTTTCTTATCTTGTATTATGCTTAGATAGAACGTAAGGGCTAATTTTGTTACTTTTTTTTTTATCGAGACGATAACTGTTGTATAACCTATTCTATCCTATACTAGAGGGGAGGGGGAGGCTAAAGAGGCTTGTATTGGGAACTAGCAGGTACACAGATCTTACTAGACCAAAGGGATGCTCTGAGACCATCCTTGGATTTTTTTCGCTGTAGGTGGGATTTTTTTATCCACCCTTAATTTTGTTACTTACATGATTCTTATTTCTATCTATTAAACAAAAGTAGCACATTTGAAACAAAAAACTTGAGTGATGTATGTCTTCCACCAATGTTGAAGGGAAAGTTTTTTGTGTATTTTTGAAGTGTGTAGGTTAAAAACTTTGAATAAGTTTTTTAGGGTTTCTGTAGTAAAAGTTGTTAAAAAACTAATTGGTAAAAAACTTGCTTAAAAACCTGGCTTCCAAACTAATTGTGGCGAAACTGCTCTACTTTTCGGGTTGACATATATGGTCAGGTTCGGATATGTACATGCTTGTGCACGCCTAAGACTAAGACGTGTGTCAAATGTTGTTGTTCTCCAGACAAAAACCCTTTTTGGGTTGCCATGGCAATTGAACAAGGGTCAGAAGAATAGACGTTTCAACAGCATTACTGCTGTTGTTCATAGTGAAAAAAACCGAACACGTCCATAAAATATCCGGTTTGAAGTGAAAAATAGCTACAGTCTGAGCTTAACATGCAGCGTGTCAATGTCTGGGACGCGGCCAGATCAAAGTTTTGCCGTTGAAAAAAAAAAAATTTTTTGGGGGAAAAATAGGAGGTTTCTTGCCAGCAATGGTCTCTTAGTTCTTGGTTCTATTTTTTATTATTATTTTTTAATATCAAGTATTGTGGGGAGGTATAAAAGTAGCAAGAGATAAATATCTGCCCTGTTTAACAAGTGAATTTTTTAAATATTTGTCTAAAACTTTACTATAATTTACTGTATAAATTTTTTTTTTAAATTATTTTGAAGTGTATGGTTTAAAAACTTTGAAAATTTTTTTGAGATTATTGTAACTATTAAAGTTTTTAAAAAACTTGTAACAGACAAACTTGACAAAAAACTTGTCTGTCAAACAAGACCATCATTTCGTAGCCTTGTGACGTCATGATTGCGTACTCCGAAAGATGAAGCATAAAATGGCCGGATTCCCATAGGTGCCTCTCCATAAAAACTCTGGCAGGCCCAACCAACAACGGAGGGAGCTGGGAGTGGCTATGGCTCCTATAATATCTGTTCCAAGTGATATCTTTCTATCAAAGGAACGGAAGCAAGACTGCAGAGTTGATACCAGAAATAGTACTAGTCTCTTTTGAGGTTTGATCTACCTTTTGCACACCATACGCAGCTGCACATTCACCAATATCATCAGCACCCATGGTCTCCATAACTAACACCAAATAGGAGCAGCAGCACCCATAGACACTTCAATCAGTTCAATGTAAGAGGGCATTAGAGTTTCTCTGGATACTACATCCTCTGGAATCTAGTTTCCAGGTAAGACCAAAACATCAGGATGGAAAGAGCTAATAACAGCAATCTTCCAAGCAGCCTCAACGGCTTCCAATACTTGAAAAAGCAAATGGACAGTATGACCCTCATTTCCATAAAACGTGAAAAAAAAAGGTCACAATCCAGCATCGTCTTAAAACTACAATATTTACAAGATGTACATATATTGGTGCTACTTCAACCCAAGCTCCACTTGCAATACTGAAGCCATCATATCTTCTTGTGCTAATGATATAAACCAAAGAAAAGGCTTGCCACTCAGTCTTGTCTCATCCCATCAGGATTTTCGAACTCCTCATATTCCCGCTGCACAATTTTTTTAGGAAATACAGACAAACTTTAATAAATCCAAACATAAAAATAAGAAAGAAAACAGGAGAGAGTACTGGTTCTGTACCGCTGCGTTGTTGTGAGCAAGCTTCATCCGCCTGTACTCTTCTTGGGCAAGCTTAGAGCGGAACATTGCTTGTACTCGGACAACAGATCTCTCAACACGCTCCTCAGCTTGTTTCCTGCTTGCCCGGAAGAAGTCCTCCTCCACATCATTTTCTTCCTTCTGATTATTGACAACTTCATCAGGATTAACATGAAGCCCACGAAAGCCTTTCCTCTTCAAGCGCCAGCGCAAAATTGCTTTCTCAAGCACTCCAACTGACCATATAATTTTTCGGTATTGCTTCCGGACTTGAAATCCCCGGAATACAGCCTGTAAAATCAAGCGAATCAATAAATAAGCAAGTTTTCCAATAAACGCCACGAGTTGGGTATTTCTTACAGCAGTCAAAAGCTCGTAGTTAACATAAAGAGCAGCAGAAGACATCATTAGACTCGATAAGTTGCCCAAGTTTTCATGTAAGCTAAACTTCAAGCTACCCATCTATCTCAAATCATTTGATTGTGAAGTCTGTTAGTAACCAGACAAACAAGCACACATGAACAGCTTAGTAATACTAGCCAGCTAAGTAGTCAAAACCTTGGAACTCTTCCAGTGACATGACTTCAAGCAAACAGAAGATCAACAAGCCTTACTTGAATTCTAATGGCTTGCCGACGCATGTTAAGAAAATCTCTTCGCATCTTCCAAGTACGAAACCTGTGTTGAATCCTAGCAGCAGCAGCCATCTTTTTCCTTGTCTCGAAGTTACGGAAAGCATGCTGAATCTTCATAGCTGCAACTATATTACGTGCTTCAATCTCTGGATTAGAAGACTCAACTGCTAGAGTTTGAACCTTGAGGGAGTGCTCCCTGAATGCAGCCTGTATGCGTGCAGCAGCATCAGCAGCAGTGCGGTAGGCTGCTAGAGTATCCTTTAGATACAACTCATCCTCACTGAAGTTTCCAGGTTCTACTGAATCACTTTTGGCAGTATGAAGTGAACCACTGACATTTCCAGCTAAGGTCATATCCTGAAAGTGTTGAACCAATGCCTTCTCTGCAAGATATGCCCCCAAACCCTCATGACCATTTTTGGATGCAAGATCAGCAGCAGTGAATCCACCAGGATTTTCTGAAGTCGGGTCTGTCACCAAATTTGCCTTTGCTCCAGCAGTTAGAAGCTTTGCAACCATTGGCTCCCTAAAAATATACTCTACGAATGAGCAATGACCACAGTTGAAGTAGCTGATAAAACTCAATAACCTCAACCTTCATGCCATATATATCAGCAAGGTGTAAACAAGACTTGTTTCCTAGAAGCCAGCTTAATCATATTCTCACTTTCCATAATTGTATCCATATACATTTCTTGTTAAGCCACAGGAAAGTATGCAGGCACCCCTTTACATGTGATAATGGAGCATGGGAATGGAAAAGATAACATTAAAAAGAAATAGTGTTAAAATTCCTAGTGGGAAGAGTGTCAAGAAAAATTTTGAATGCAGCAAAAAGGATACCTTCCATAATATGCAGCCCAATGAAGAGCTGTCCATCCAAACTTATCTCGATAATCTATTGATAAGCCAGACCATGAAAATGGATAGACAGCCCAAGTATAACCTAGGATAGCACACAAATGTATTACACCTAGGCCTTGTTCATCACGTTCAGAGATTTGACACCCTTCCGCTACTCTTTCCAACAACCATTCCAATAACCTGTTTTGCAAAGTCAGTTCAAACAAGCAGTTCTTGGCGTCTGGGAAAGAGATTTCCTTGGCCTTTATTGATTTTGTCAAAAATTCCCAGTGATTTTTTATATGTGAGGTCTTGCGAGCAAAATTCTTGGCTTCCTTCAAGGCAGTTGGTGTTACCTTGGTTGATAAAATGTTAAAGCTCCTAGATGTAGAGAAAAGCAAATGAGCAAGTCTCATCTGAACTTCAAATTCTTCCCAACTAGACCTCTCCTCTGAGATTGCAGGATTATCGACAATGGGTCCACGGAACTCAAACATCACAACTTGGCTTATGGGTGTATGACCATCAAAGCTCAAAAAAAGGTTTACAAAAGCTGGTGCTTGAGGGGAGACCACACAACGAAATACGCCACTTTGGACAGGTTCTGCACGAGTACAAGCATTTCCACAGATGCAAAACAAATTAGACTTTGCCAGGTTAGATTGCCCTTCATGAAAATATCCGACCACCAAGATCTGCAACAGAAATGTCTGGGATATCAAATTGAACCAGGATAACAAATATTTCTTCATTTGTCGAGAAAAATATTTCACCCAAATATACATAATTTTCAAGTAAGACATTTATCTGCCATATTATGTAGCACAAGATCAATAACCAAAATAATAACACTACTTTGAATATCTAGTATCACAGATGCAACTAAATGCATCTAACAACCAAATTCTTGTTTTAAAAATAAGGG